TAGCATCGAAAGGCAAATCTGACCCGAAACTGCTGTATAGCCACATTAGGAGGAAGACAACAGTCAAGGACCAGTGATAAGGCTGAGGAAAGAAGGTGGAGAACTCACAAGAAACGATCAAGAGTATGTGAGGAGCTCAACACGAGATTTAAGGAAGTATTTACAGTAGAGACAGGAAGGACTCTGGGGGGACAGACCAGATGGGACACCAACAAGGAATACACCAACAAGTGTTGGACGACATACATACAGTGAGGAGGAGGTGAAGAAACTGCTAAGGGACATCGATACCTCAAAGGCAATGGGACCGGACAACATCTCTCCGTGGGTCCTTAGAGAGGGAGCAGATATGTTGTGCGTACCACTTACCACAATCTTCAACACATCCCTGGAAACTGGGCAACTACCTGAGGTATGGAAGACGGCAAATGTAGTTCCCATTTTCAAAAAAGGAGACAGAAAAGAGGCACTAAACTATAGACCTGTGTCATTGACGTGTATAGTATGCAAAATTTATGGAGAAGATTATCAGGAGGAGAGTGGTGGAGCACCTGAACGGAACAGGAGTATAAATGCCAACCAGCACGGATTCACGGAAGGCAATCCTGTGTCACAAACCTTCTGGAGTTTTATGATAAATAAAACAGAAGTAAGACAAGAGAGAGAAGGGTGGGTTGATTGCATCTTCTTGGACTGCAAGAAGGCCTTTGACACAGTTCCTCACAAGAGATTAGTGCAGAAGCTAGAGCATCAGGCGCATATAACAGGAAGGGCACTGCAATGGATCAGAGAATGCCTGACAGGGAGGCAACACGAGTCATGGTACGTAATGATGTATCACAGTGGGCACCTGTGATGAGCAGGGTCCCACTGGGGTCGGTCCTAGGACCAGTGCTATTTTTGGTATATGTGAACGACATGACGGAAGGGTTAGACTCAGAAGTGTCCCTGTTTGCAGATGATGTGAAGTTAATGAGGAGAATTAAATCTGATGAGGACCAGGCAGGACTTCAAAGAGACCTGGACAGACTGGACACCTGGTCCAGCAAATGGCTTCTCGAATTTAATCCTGCCAAATGCAAAGTCATGAAGATAGGGGAAGGGCACAGAAGACCACAGACAGAGTATAGGCTAGGTGGCCAAAGACTGCAAACCTCACTCAAGGAGAAAGATCTTGGGTGAGTATAACACCGAGCATGTCTCCGGAAGCACACATCAATCAGATAACTGCTGCAGCATATGGGCGCCTGGCAAACCTGAGAACAGCATTCCGATACCTTAGTAAGGAATCATTCAAGACACTGTACACCGTGTATGTCAGGCCCATACTGGAGTATGCAGCACCTGTTTGGAACCCGCACTTGATAAAGCAATGTCAAGAAACTAGAGAAAGTACAAAGGTTTGCAACAAGGTTAGTTCCAGAGCTAAGGGGAATGTCCTATGAAGAAAGATTAAGGGAAATCGGCCTGACGACACTGGAGGACAGGAGGGTCAGGGGAGACATGATAACGACATATAAAATACTGCGTGGAATAGACAAGGTGGACAAGGACAGGAATGTTCCAGGGAGGGGACACAGAAACAAGAGGCCACAATTGGAAGTTGAAGACACAAATGAGTCAGAGAGATAGTAGGAAGTATTTCTTCAGTCATAGAGTTGTAAGGCAGTGGAATAGCCTAGAAAATGACGTAGTGGAGGCAGGAACCATACACAGTTTTAAGACGAGGTTTGATAAAGCTCATGGAGCGGGAGAGAGAGGGCCTAGTAGCAACCGGTGAAGAGGCGGGGCCAGGAGCTAGGACTCGACCCCTGCAACCACAAATAGGTGAGTACAAATAGGTGAGTACACACACACACACACACACACACACACACACACACACACACACACACACACACACACACACACACACACACACACACACACACACACACACACACACACACACACACACACACACACACACACACACACACACACACACCACACACACACACACACACACACACACACACACACACACAGATAGATATTTGATTGATTGATACACACTCCAGATCATCCTATATTGCTCCATCTTCTCTAAATGATCAAACCACCTCAATAACCCCTCTTCTTTCCTTTGAATAATACTTTCAGTAAGTCCACACCTCCTCCTAATGTCCACACTATGAATTCTCTGCATATTTACACCACACATTGCCCTTAGACATGACATCTCCACTGCCTCCAGCCTCCTCCTCCTCGCTGCAGCATTTACAACCCATGCTTTGCATCCATGGATGATGTTTTTTGTCTCCACAGATACCTCAGTGCACTACCCACCTTTTTTCCTTCAATTCATCTTTCATAAACCCATCCACTGACAAGTCTACTTCCAAATATCTGAACACATTCTCTTCTTCCCTACTCCCTCCCTCCAATGTGATATCCAGTTTTGATATGCTTATTACCTTACTCTTATCTGTGTTTGCTCTCACTTTCAGTATGGTATTTCATCATGATTGTTTTTTTTTTTTTTTTTTTTTAAGTAAATTTACACATTAAGTAATGTGAGCTAATTGAAATGGTGAAAAAAGTGCTGCAGTACATAATAATAAGATAGACGTTGGTTTTAGTCTTCGTTATACAGTATTGCTGCATTATTTAGGTCAGTTTTTATGGATGAAAAAAGTCATTAGATCTAGTATCAGTATCTGGTTGACAGCAAAAATGGTTATATTTTTTGTTATTATTAGTGTTATTAATTTATTCATGGGGAAGTGCTACACTTGGACTGTACAGTGCTTGGGTAATGGGAGGTAGTCAAGTTTCATCCAAGGAAGGGAAAGGTAGTTCCAATTCCTTGGCTCAAGTTCTTCATCAGTATCAAGGCACATGCCCCCTTGAAAGTTTTATTTTCTGTTCCTAGAATTTGGGAGAGTTTCCCTGCGTGCTTTGTCATGTTTCTTAATATATATATGATAGTACTTAATATATATATGATAGTAAAGTTTCTCATAGTGTCTGCCTTTGTGGTTCATTTTCAATAGAACTTGATTCATATTTCTTTTGATAAAATACTAGTATGGGATTCTGACTGAGAGTAGTACGTACCTTAAAAGTTTTAAAAAAGTATTGTATTGTATATACTGTAATATACCTCAGTATTTCCAAGTGTCTTGAAAATACCATATAATACACTATAATAATGCAATTTATAATGGAATATAAAATGGATGAATGTCTTTTACAGTAGTCACATGGGGTTGTATTTAGTGCATGATATACAGTAGACGTTTTTCCTACCAAAAATATTTAAAGGTAGTCATATTACCCTAGAATGGAATGGTTCTTGGATGTACCCAAATGAATGTAGTTTATATGCTTTCATGTAGTTCAAAGTATATATTTAAATGTTCAGCATTTTACTTGGATGTGATGTTTTACATATTTTTTTCAGCGAGTATATGTATGCTGTAGTTTCGATAGATTCTTTGGAAGTGTATAGCATAGAGTGTGTAGCATTTGATAAAGTATTTTTCTTTTTGGAATTTGGTTTGACATGGATCTAATAATCTATATAATTTATGCTTATATTGCATTTGCATAATTATTATATGGCTTCATTGCAGGTATTATGTTGGGTAGGTTATATTGAGAGTGAATTTAGCCTTGCCTCCCTTCTATTTAGGCTCTCATTACTATATATTACATGACCTAATATACACTGTAAACAATTATGTATTGTTACACTTTCTTAGCAATGTATTTCTTGCTTATCACTGTCCATTCTCTACTTTTATTTATATTTTATGTATGCTTTTCATGCCAACTTGAATGAATTTCTACTTTTGTGTTTGCCAGACCAAGATATCTCAATCATTTTTAAATATTTTGAACAATGCTTCTGAATCACCTTTAATAGATTATTACAGTTACACTTGAAAAGAATCACAAAATCACTTGTAGTAGAAACAGGCAGTAGTTTTTGTTAACATTCTTATGACTTCCATCTTGCGCTAACATGTGTAATATTCATAGAGAAGTGGGTTAGAATTCTTCATTAACTGTTCGTGTTGTAGAAGGTGCTGGATATTCTTATTCCTATAATTAATAGCCAAGTATGTGTAGTTAAAGGAGATGATTAGGTATCATTTTGTTGGTCACCCTACCTAAGTGGGGAAAAAGGCCAATGAGTTATTGACATAGCATATTGCTATTAGAAAGTGGCTCATTTGTGCTATTATGTATCGAATTCATTTTTTCTTTTTGTATTCAGGTGAAAATTATAATCATGGTCTTATGTACTAAAATATATTTTACAATACTGCAATTCTTTTTCTGTATTCTGTAGTACAGTGGAACCTCGGTACTCAAACTTAATTTGTTCCAGAAGGCTGTTCGAATGCCGATCTGTTCGAGTACCAAACAAATTTTTTCCAGCCAATTTTCTTTTTGGCTCTTATCACTAATCTTCGTAGGCCCCATGGTGACTTATTTATATAAATAATATAAAAAACACTTAAAAATGTGAAGAAACTCGAAATAGTTTACAGCGAGGTTCTGGCAGGTCATGTTTGTTTGGTGAAGTGCCGAGCAAACGGTCGACTACTGAGCGATTTTTTGTTACCGAACAAAGTGTTCGAATACCAAATTTTTCTAGTAGCTGTTCAAGTCCCAAGATTCCACTGTACTTGGTAGATGAAATGTTAGTACTGTACTTGCTGTAAAAGATACACAAAAAGATATTTTTAATACGTACAGTATTTAAATCATTATGTTTTATAGCATTTGATTCCTAATGGTGCAGCAGATGCCTTATGAAGAAATAATTACACATTACACAATTTAAATATCTAATTTATATTTACAGAACACAATGTAAAGTCTCTTCCCTGAATGAAGCTCAATTCCTCCTCCTGAACATAGCATAGTTTTTCTGGATGTACAAAAACAAGCATTAAAATATAGTTTCTTTATCAGAGTTTTACAATAAAATTAAATTGACACTTCAGCAGACAAAGTGGGAGCAGACAGATTAAGCGATGAAAGTAGTAAAAGAGCAGACAGTGACCACATGGAGAACTGGACAGACCAAGAGCACTCGGATCCCCAGTGCTTGGCCTCCTCCCCACCTAGAGAAGATAAGAATAAAAGGTGGGATTTCCTGAATGAAGGACTCATGATTCTGTGCAATTGAAGTTGTATATGATAAGTGGAATATTTGTGGAAACTCCTACAATCCTAGATGATCGGTGAACTCCTGTTGAAAGGGCTGTAGATTCTGGTGCTTTCCAATGTAAGTTCAGTTTCAGTGTAGAATTGTAATTATTTGTTAAATATTTCAGAATTTTTTAATAAAAGGTAGGTAGTAGAGAATGGAATTGTACAAAATATTTGCCTTTAAGGTAGTTCTTGACTCTTAAGACTACGCATTATATTTTCTTTAGCGATATTGAACTTTATTTGTGATCATTATCGTGATGTAGTGGCTTTTATAAATCGTTTTTAAATAATATAAGATAAATTGTTATTTCATTATTATTTTCTCTATTTTGACTAGCTATCTTCATGATGAAAATAGTTGTACAGTATACTGTATAACATAAGACATTGAAACACTTGAATTATAATCTGTTTATAGTACATATTGCAGCATGATTTGCAGAGAAGGAATGTAAATTTGTTAAAATTTATAGTTAAAAACTGTTTCTGATCTGGTCCCACTACACCCATTTAAGTACAGGCATAGGAGAAGTAAAGTATTTATTCAGCCTCCTCCTCCTGTCGTTGATGATTTTTCTGTGTACATAATCACTTTTATATAAGTACTTTGTGAACTAACGTACATTGTAAACTACACAATTTTCTCACACTGAGGACTAGTTCTCGATCTTTATCTTTCATTTACTTTCTCCATTCTTTATTTCTTTTACTTCTGCATTTTTTTCATATATTTGCTCTCTTTCTTGTATGTTATTTTCAAGGGACCCATAGTTGTCCTCATGAATTCACATTATCATATCTGAAAGAAAAACATGGCACACATGTCATTCAAGTAAAATTATGCAGGATTCACCGAGTGAGTCATTCATATTTTTAAAGCATTGAACACTTAGTAATTTGGAGATTATCATTAACTGAATTTAAAGAAAATATATACTAACTACCATTTGGTTTCTGAGGAAAATGCAGCTAGAGAACATCTGTAGTTCATTTAACAAATTGTTATGTGACTTATACAGCACAGTACTTATTTAAAATATTTTGGCAACAATTTTATCAAATAAAATGCTTTTTACAGCAACAAGAATAAGCTGTTTAACAGAGATCGCAGCAATATGTCATTAAAAGAACGAAAAAGTATTACATCGACTGGTGGGTCAACACCTCGTCAAGAGAAGATGGTTGTTGAGCGCTCAAACTCCAGTGCCAATGTGGATTCTAGTGTGAGTTACAATTTTTTATTTTATGTTGGTTTTTAATCAGTATTTCTCATGTATTCTAGTTGACTGGAAGCAGGAAAAAATGGTTATTGTGTAGTTTCCTTTTAAATTTAGAATATATATTGTGACATAATGATTTTAAGCTTGATAAACACTGGGGGATTATTTTTGAGAATTAGATTAATTATTTGAGAATTAGATGTATTATATTTTCGAGTCTTTTATAATTATTTGGTTGAAATCTCAGCAATGCTTCAACCAAATAAAATACTGTACAGTGGTACCCCAAGTTTCGTACAGCTCCCAACATGAATAGTTATGTAAGTGTATTATTGTAAGTGCTTTTGTAAGTGTATTTTTGGGGGTCTGAAATGGACTAATCTAATTTACATTATTCCTTATGGGAACAAATTCATTCAGTAACGGCACTTGAACAGCTTTCTGGAACGAATTATGGCCAAAACTCGGGTATCACTGTATTTCTAATACTTCTGCTAGAGTGCCTGCACTCTAAAGGAGGGTGAGAATGTTGCAGTTCAGAGGGTCATCTGAGCTGTTACGTCAACACACTTCTGGAAGGATAGCGATTAAATGAATGATGTGAATGTGTTATCTTCTTGTGGGTCATCCAGCCTTGTGGGAAATGGCTGGTGCATTAAAAAAAAATGGTAGTAATAATAATTAAAGTACTAATTAATCTTAAATATATGGTATAGTTAAGTTCATGGTATGTACAAAATTTTAGATAACTGTAATTCTAATAACATTCAAATAAAAGAAATGTCAGTAATGTTGGTAAAAAGGATACCAACACTGGGCTATGTAAATAGTGCAAATAAAATTGAAGTTGGAGTGGTTGGTGCAATTATTTAATAAATGTATGGAAGAGGGTAAGGTACCTAGGGATTGGCAGAGAGCATGCATAGTTCCTTTGTATAAAGGCAAAGGGGATAAAAGAGAGTGCAAAAATTATAGGGGGATAAGTCTGTTGAGTATACCTGGTAAAGTGTATGGTAGAGTTATTATTGAAAGAATTAAAAGTAAGACGGAAAATAGGATAGCAGAAGAACAAGGAGGCTTTAGGAAAGGTAGGGGGTGTGTGGACCAGGTGTTTACAGTGAAACATATAAGTGAACAGTATTTAGATAAGGCTAAAGAGGTCTTTGTGGCATTTATGGATTTGGAAAAGGCGTATGACAGGGTGGATAGGGGGGCAATGTGGCAGATGTTGCAAGTGTATGGTGTAGGAGGTAGGTTACTGAAAGCAGTGAAGAGTTTTTACGAGGATAGTGAGGCTCAAGTTAGAGTATGTAGGAAAGAGGGAAATTTTTTCCCAGTAAAAGTAGGCCTTAGACAAGGATGTGTGATGTCACCATGGTTGTTTAATATATTTATAGATGGGGTTGTAAGAGAAGTAAATGCGAGGGTCTTGGCAAGAGGTGTGGAGTTAAAAGATAAAGAATCACACACAAAGTGGGAGTTGTCACAGCTGCTCTTTGCTGATGACACTGTACTCTTGGGAGATTCTGAAGAGAAGTTGCAGAGATTGGTGGATGAATTTGGTAGGGTGTGAAAAAGAAGAAAATTAAAGGTGAATACAGGAAAGAGTAAGGTTATGAGGATAAAAAAAAAGATTAGGTGATGAAAGATTGAATATTAGATTGGAGGGAGAGAGTATGGAGGAGGTGAATGTATTCAGATATTTGGGAGTGGACGTGTCAGCGGATGGGTCTATGAAAGATGAGGTGAATCATAGAATTGATGAGGGGAAAAGAGTGAGTGGTGCACTTGGGAGTCTGTGGAGACAAAGAACTTTGTCCTTGGAGGCAAAGAGGGGAATGTATGAGAGTATATTTTTTACCAACGCTCTTATATGGGTGTGAAGCATGGGTGATGAATGTTGCAGCGAGGAGAAGGCTGGAGGCAGTGGAGATGTCATGTCTGAGGGCAATGTGTGGTGTGAATATAATGCAGAGAATTCGTAGTTTGGAAGTTAGGAGGAGGTGCGGGATTACCAAAACTGTTGTCCAGAGGACTGAGGAAGGGTTGTTGAGGTGGTTCGGACATGTAGAGAGAATGGAGCGAAACAGAATGACTTCAAGAGTGTATCAGTCTGTAGTGGAAGGAAGGCGGGGTAGGGGTCGGCCTAGGAAAGGTTGGAGAGAGGGGGTAAAGGAGGTTTTGTGTGCGAGGGGCTTGGACTTCCAGCAGGCATGCGTGAGCGTGTTTGATAGGAGTGAATGGAGACAAATGGTTTTTAATACTTGACATGCTGTTGGAGTGTGAGCAAAGTAACATTTATGAAGGGGTTCAGGGAAACCGGCAGGCCGGACTTGAGTCCTGGAGATGGGAAGTACAGTGCCTGCACTCTGAAGGAGGGGTGTTAATGTTGCAGTTTAAAAACTGTAGTGTAAAGCACCCTTCTGGCAAGACAGTGATGGAGTGAATGATGGTGAAAGTTTTTCTTTTTCGGGCCACCCTGCCTTGCTGGGAATCGGCCAGTGTGGTAATAAATAGTATTAAGGTTATTTGGCAGTTGAAATTTATGCATAGAATAGTTATAATTAACCCTTTTGACGTCAATTTCATAGTACTATGGCTTTGAGCTCAAGGTTCATGCCGTAGTATGGACTGTACTACATGATGAGCTCGGCTCACTCAGATAAGCTGTGAGCAGTAAATTTAGGCCTAGATATGAGAGACTGGGTCTGTTAGGTGATTGTGCACCATATAAAAAAATTCTGCCCCACATAGTCCATGATGGGAAAAACTGTGACTGTGTATTTGGTTTAAAATAGCAACTTAGCTGTGTATTTTTGGATGGTTTTTATGTTTGTATTCTTGGTTTCGTGGTCTCATTTGATAAAATGGATGATATACTACAGAAAAAGAGATGATGATTTTGATTGGTTTCACAATGGAAGTAGCTTGAAGTTGAGCTCACAGTAGCAGAAATGTTCGATTTTTGCCAATATTCCAATACACATCCAACTGGTCAGTCTAATATGCATTCACAAATGTGCTGACATTATTTATACAATTATTACAATAATGTAGTAGTCTGCTTAACAGTAAATCTATTTTTTGTGCGAATATGGGGACGTAACTAATGAACAGAGGAAATGTTGTTTTAGTGCCAGGAATGTCTACAGTGTTAATTCTAGACCCTATTTTTAAATTGGCAATTTTTGAATTTTGTGTGAAATTGAAAAACTTACCAACTTTTGATCACTTTATTAGGTAGTTGAAGTAGTTAAATGGGCAGTTTCTTGTGCTAAGAGGCTGGTAGACTGGAACAGTGGAATTTGCCTTAAACAGGGCTCAAAGAGGGAGAACATTGTAGATGGGTCAGTATCACCAAGACTGCTAACTTTGAGAAAATGTAATTCCATCAAATTTCGTACTTTTGGTGTCATTACCTTCAGAAAAAGATTATCATTTAAAATTATTTTTTTAGAATATTCTTGGACTTTGTGGACATGTTTCTGATCCAGGGTCTGTACCCTCAAGGGGTTAATATTTAGCTTCAAAGTTAGTAAATAAATAATTATGTATATTTTCTCCGTATACAGCCTCTCCTCACTTAATGATGGAGTTCAGTTCCTAAGACACATCAGTAAACAAATTCATCACTAAGTGAGGAGCATACTATAATGGTAGTGGGTTTGTGTCAGCCATCTTTGATATTGTTTTAATGTCACCTTTGCATCATTTATAACATTTCTGGTATTTTTTAAATGTTTATACAGTAGTTTACTGTATATAGTAATAAACAGAATAGAGGAAATCATCTCTAATATACATTATTTAGGTATGCATACTGGTCAGAGAGCTCGTTGTAAGTCCGAGTCGTCAGTAAATGAGTACGTCGTTAAGTGAGGAGAAGCTGTACATATTTCTCTCCGTAAGCCATGAGTGTCATAAGAGGCTACTAAAGTGCCGGGAGCAAGGGACTAATAATCCCTTCTCCTGTATAAATTACTAAATGTAAAAAGTAGAAAACTTTATAAAGTTGGGTTTTCTCTTTTGAGTCACCCTACCTCAGTGGGGGACAACCTGTGTGCATGCACGCACTTGCACTCGCACACAGTATATACATGCATACATTATATATATACACACACAGAGTATGTATATACATAAGGCTTGCTGGTTATGTCAGTGATGAGCTGCCAACAGTATTGAAGAAAAAAAAAATTACAAAACAAACTTTTATTAGGCCAGCATTGTCTTAACCCTTTGAGGGTCGACAGGCCCTCTCCGAAACTCGTTCTCAGGGTCGGCCAAATTTAAAAAAAAAAAAATTATTTTCTCTTATGAAAAGATAGAGAATCTTTTCCCGATCATAAAGACACCAAAAATTTGAAATTTGATAGAAAACTTACGGAATTATGCTCTCGCAAAGTTAGCGGTCTCGGCGATGTTTACGCATTGGCGATTTTGCCCACTTTGAGCCCCATTTTTGGCCAATTTCACTGTACTAGTCGACAAAAAACATGAATATTTCGCTAGAACTCCATTTTTTCTATCGAATGGGTGCAAGAAAACCACCCATTTATGAAATTCAACTATCCAGTACAGTGGTCAGAATTTAGCAATTTTGCCAATTTCACACAAATTTCAAAAGATGCCAATTTCCGAATAGGGTCCAGAATAAACAAGAAAGACATTCCTGGCACTAAAATGATATTTCCTCTAGTCATTAGTCACGTCTCAAGGCCCCTCTTATATTCTTTTGCTTTCCACTTTGAATTTTTATTCTCACAAAAAATATAAGATTTACTGTTATGCAGACTACTGCATTAGTGTAAAAAATGGTATAAATATTATTGGTGCACTTGTAAAAGAATATTAGATTCACCAGTTGACGTGTATTGCACGCTTGGCACGATTTGTTTACTTTTGAAGTTTGGTAAAAATCGAACATTTCTGCTACTTTGAGCTCAATTTCAAGGCACCTTTCATTGTAAAACCAGTCAAAATCATCTCATTTTCTGTAATATGTCTTCCATTCTATAAAATGAGACCAAGAAAACTAGAATACAACAATAAATACCATACGAAAATACACTGCAAAGTCGCTGATTTATTAAAAAAAAATGATCAAAGTTTTTTTTTTCTCATTATGCACTGTGTGCTGCAGGATTTTTTTTAGACTGTGCACACTGACCACATAGACCCATTCTTTCATATGAAGGCCTACCAGCTTTCTCCCACTAGATTTGAGGCCGCTAGAATTTATGAGTACTAGTACGTCAAAAACCCCTACGCGTAAAACGTACTAGTACGACCAAAACCCTCAAAGGGTTAATAAAAGCTTTGGCTGTAACATGCATCCTTTACTGTTTTGTGATTAATTTGGAGGCTAATAAATTAATAAATTACAAAAAATAAATGTTTAGGGCAATTTAATTAAATGCTTGGGATGATCTTTCAGCCGAGAAAGGTATTGTTAGAACAGTTGGCACGAGTACTACCACTAGAAGATGTACAACTTCCTGACCATGTTGTCCTTGTAAACACTGGAGATTCCCATGGTGCACTACTGGCTGCGCACCTTACTGAGCACGGACATCGTGTCATCACAACTATGGCCTTGGCTGATGTTAAAGCTACTGTCTCCCATCTTGTAAATAAATTACAGAAATTGTAAGTACAGTACATTATTACTATTATTATGTTTAGTGGGAAGTGCTAAACCCATAAGGGTCATATAGCACCTGGTGGGAGGGTTGGAGGAAATCAGAATCAGTCCAAGGAAAGAGAGGGTAATTCCAAATTTAAATTTTTTTTGAAATTTACATTCTTTGGTGCATTTTATACACATTATATAAAACTGTAAAGTGTTTTAAGTATTATAGAGAACACAGCTGATGCAGTAGTACTTGGCAGCATGGGTAATAGAGTTTCTTATTAAATTGTTTTATAATTTTTCAAAGATCTCTGATCTATTTTGAAACTTTTATCATTTTTGTTGTTGGTTACATAGTACTCTTTTTTTTTTTTTTCCCTCATTTCTCTCCTTTTTTTTAACATCATTTCAATTTTATTAACCTGCTGTCCAAGTGCATACAGGTAGGAACTAATTCACTTACTTGAGAATAAAAAATTAAATACATTCAGTAAAGGCTTTTAGTGTTCTTTGGGGTACATTTTTGTTAGAAGAGTTAGTACAGCAATTTTACGTGTATATAAAGTTTATAGAGTGCAAAACTTAACATAGTAGTGAAGAGAGATGGATTAGCTATTTTCACCCCGCAAGATAGGTTCCTTGATGCTGGTGAGGGGCTCTTGATCTAGGAAATTGGATCTGTGCTCCAGTTCCCTGAATTGAGCCTGAATACCTTCCATCCCTACCCCCCTACAGGCACTATATAATCCCTACGGGTTTAGCACTCCCCCATGATTATAATAATATTTATTTTCTCCATCAGGATTATTTTGTAATATATGCTATCTTATTAGGCTCTTTGTTGACAGCTGCCTTAACTGTGGAATCCTTGAATAATACTGTATCCATATTTAGTTTCATTTATAGTGAATGGCAAAGGCTCTTTGTTCAACCCTTGTAAAGAAACTAGCAACAATTATTACAGGATCTTTTTGCAGATCATTCACAATAAAAAAATTCTCACGTTGTACTGATGATATACTGTATATGAAATTAATAGGTAATGTCAATTAGGCATTTGTAGTGAACCTCTTGTTTTTTAGTATCTTTATCTTTACAGTCGAAATACTTTGTCCTAAAAATTTTCCTGGGGCATGTGTTGTCCTGGACAATGTCATCTTCACAAACATGTAGCCTCTTTTTCAGTTTCACTGTATTACATGGAGTTTTTAAAGTCCTTGCCCAGGATAATGCTCTATCTCAGCACATCAGTCAGTTCATTCAAATGAATGTTGCTTAATTGATCATAACAATTCGAGAGGGAACTACTGAGGAAGAAAATACAAAAAAGCCAGAGACAGCTTGATCCTGGTAATACTGTCCATCTGTACTACTACTGTAGTCCATGAAGGACAGTTTCAAAAGACTACTCATAGAATGGCAGGAATATGAAAATGCATTTTGACTAATTTCATCACTAGGATAAGAACCTCTTATTATCATGTCTGAGAAGCCCACCAAGTGAGCATTTATTTATGTTGGCTTGCCTGTTCCCTCTGGGGACTTAAAAGTTTTTTTTGAGTAATTACAGGTCTTAATGAAGATTTTTAGGGGCACCCAAACCATTCAGCAAAATGGCATGTGGTGATTTATTTAATAGAAATTTTAAATTCTCATCTCTTGTAATACAAAGTAAATGTACAGTAGGGCTCCGCTTTATGGCATTTCACCTTACGGCATTCCGCTAATAAGGTGATTTCAAAATATGACCAAAATTTGCTATACGGCCAGCGGTCTCAAATACAGTGCGCCCCACCCGGTTTGTTTACATTCTCCGTGAGCACATCTATTATGTCTGGAGACTTTCCAAAATTTCAAGTGTTTTAAAGTTATTGCATATTTTATATGTTTTTTTTTTCTTCTTCAACAAACCGGCCATATCCCACCAAGGCAGGGTGGCCAAAAAGAAAAACGAAAGTTTCTCTTTTTAAATTTAGTAATTTATACAGGAGAAGGGGTTAGTAACCCCTTGCTCCTGGCATTTTAGTCGCCTCTTACAACACACATGGCTTATGGAGGAAGAATTCTTTTCCACTTCCCCATGCAGATAAGAGGAAATAAACAAGAACAAGAACTAGAAAGAAAATAGAAGAAAACCCAGAGGGGTGTGTACATATATACTTGTACATGTATGTGTAGTGTGACCTAAGTGTAAGTAGAAGTAGCAAGACGTACCTGAAATCTTGCATTTTTATGAGACAGACAAAAGACACCAGCAGTCCTACCATCATGTAAAACAATTACAGGCTTTCGTTTTACACTCACTTGGCAGGATGGTAGTACCTCCCTGGGCGGTTGCTGTTTACCAACCTACTACCTAAAATATTTTATATGTACTCTGATAATTATGTTTATTTGTACCTGTATCTAAATATACTTACACACTTTGCTGGCGTGCAGGAACACATTAAAATCACTAAGAGTCTCTCTACTCGTGACACCATAGTAATACTACGTAGTAATAATCTCCCTTGGGCACATTAAATGTCTTATTTTATGTTAATATAGATATTTTCATTAATCCATCTATGATATTTTCTTCAAAATTATATAAGAAACAGGTTACATAGCATATAAACATTATACATACACCCACAGAATAAAAATTGACATATGAGATTTTTTTACAAAGCGGCTTTGTAGGAGTGTCAGAAGAATTACGTTTTCTCTAGTCAAACACTGGGGATAACTGTAGATAAATATTCCTTTCCTATGCCTTCACTCCATATACAGCAATTCGTGCCCCTTGTGGGTTTAGTGATTCTTTTTTATTATGATTATAATAACTTGCAATAATAATAATGTAGGTAGTAGGTTGGTAGACAGCAACCGCCCAGGGGGGTACTACCGTCCTGCCAAGTGAGTGTAAAATGGAAACCTGTAATTAATTTACATGATGGTAGGATTGCTGGTGTCCTTTTTTCTGTCTCATAAACATGCAAGATTTCAGGTACGTCTTGCTACTTCTACTTACACTTAGGTCACACTACACATACATGTACAAGCATATAAATACACACCCCTCTGGGTTTTCTTCTATTTTCTTTTTAGTTCTTGTTCTTGTTTATTTCCTCTTATCTCCATGGAGAAGCGGAACAGAATTCTTCCTCCGTAAGCTGTGCATGTTGTAAGAGGCGACTAAAATGCCGGGAGCAAGGGGTTACTAACCCCTTCTCCTGTATAAATTACTAAATTTAAAAAGAGAAACTGTGGAGACAACTTGTACACAATGTAAGGTGTTTGTATAAATGTTTATGAACCATAACCAGATGCATCATCTGTTTGTTTACCTAGTGGGTGGGGTGGCCAGGAAGGCTTCCCTACACTACCCTACCTACCACACCACTTTCTACAAATAAATACTTTTCACCTTTCACCCTACATTAAGACCACAAATATTTTAAGGTAAGTAATGAGTGTACTGTATATACATTTTATCACTCTATGGAGCTTAAGCATCGTTGTAGTATATTATGTGTGAGTGGGGTGGCCAGGAGGGCTACCATATCTAACTTCTTAAAGTAAATACTGCTCATCTTTTGCCCTACGTTAAGACTACGAATGTTTTGAGGTAAATAATGAGTGTACTGTGTGTATATTTTACTTTTTATTGTTGTTTAATGCTTAGTTGTATTGCTAACTTAATATATGTTAGTGTAAACTTGTTATCTGGCATTTATATGCATTTACAAGTGGAAAAAATGGCATTCTGCTTTCCAGCAGTAGCCTGAAACCCAACCTGCCGTATAAGTGGGGCCCTACTGTATGTAGAAACATTGAAGACAAGATGCTCTCAATCAGAATATAAAAGTGAGAAAATGGAAGGGAAGAAATAATAAAATCATAAATATGCATATAAATGTGCAAGAAAATAAAAAGCTGTGTATAAGGCAATGTGGAGATGAAATAAACAGTACAGCATCAAGTGGTAGCTTTCTATGACTGACAAGTCTATGGCTTTAACCTCTTCTTGGTTGGAATTCAACTCCTTGTAAAATATGAAAGGGAGTAAACTGACATGAAATAATTCAAAGACACACCTTTATTAAAATGACATTTTACCCAGTGTGAACTTTATCAAATTACATGAAAAGAATATTACCCTTTACAGCAGCAGATGTGAAAAGATTGGTAGCTTATTACCTGTGAATTTAATGTACTCGTCTTCAGTGAACAGTGAGAACCAAATTAGTGTGTATTACTTTTCATAGTTTTCTAATCTAATATTTATTGTAATTTGCCTCCACAGCTGCAACAGCAATTTAAAAGCACCAGGCCCCATGAAGGTGGTAGTAGTTGGGTCTGATCTATATATCAGCTGTGTGTTACGTCCTTATGTAGACCAGTTCTCTTCCAAGCCACCAGATTTCCAAAATCATGTTAGATTTCTCATCATTCCTCTTGGTAAGTATGAGATAAATTAACATAGCTTTTGTTAAATATTATATGAGCTAAGGGTGAGATGTATTTAAGTAAATCCATTACCAGCTATCAATAATTTGCTTCAAATTGTTGTTCAACAATAAGAAATTAATGTACAGTAGACTAATGATTTATATCATTAGTCTATTGTAGACTAATTTATATCATTTGTCACAGGCTTAAATGTGATATTTTTTTGTTTCTTGCCAGAAATCCTATTTTTAGAATAATTCATTATTGAAAATTTATTAACCCTTTCAGGGTCCGTCCCGTAGATCTACGGCTTTACGTTCAGGGCCCAAACCGTAGATCTACGTCATGAGCTCAGCTCACTCTGATAAACTGTGAGTGGTAAATTTGGGCTTAGAAATGAGAGAATACATCTATGTGGTATGTGTGCACCACATAAAACAAATCCTGCAGCACACTGTATAATGAGAGAAAAAAAACTGAGACCGTGATTTTCGATTAAAACAGCGACTTTGCAGTGTTTTTTCGTATGTTTTTTATAGTTGTATTTGTGATTTCTTGGTCTCATTTGATAGAATGGAAGACATATTACAGAAATAGAGATAATTTTGATTGGTTTTAGCACTGGAAATGGCTTGAAACTGAGCTCAAAGTGGCGGAAATGTTAAATTTTTGCCGATGTTCAAGAGTAAACAAACGACCTCACACGTCTAATACATGCCAGGTGGTGAGTCTAATATACATTCACAAATGTGGTGAAGATATTTATACAATTATTACAATATTGCATAACAGTAAATCTTCTATTTTTTGGTGTGAATAAAAATTCATTATGTGAATAAAAAATCAAAATGGAATTTATCTGTAAAGCCTCAAAACATAACTAATGAACAGAGGAAATGTTAGTTTAGTGCCAGGAATACCTACATTGTTTATTCTGGACCCTATTTTGAAATTGGAATATTTTGAACTTTGTGTTAAATTGGCCAAGTTACCAATTTCCGGTCACTTTATTTTGTAGTTGAAACAGTTGACTTGGCGATTTCTTGTGCTCAATCGATGGAATAGAAGTAATACTAGTGAAATAGCTAAGAATTTGGTCGACTGGAATAATGTAATTGGCCTAAAATGGGAGTCAAAGTCGGCAAAATCGCCGATTCGTAAATATCGCTGACACATCAAAATTCACGAGAGCACAACTTTGTAAATTTTCCATCAAATTTCGTACTTTTTGTTTTATTACATTCACCAAAAGATTCTCTACCATTTCATAAGAAAAAATAAATTTTTTTTTTTTAAATTCTTGGACACTGGGGCACCACTTCAGATTTTGGCCTTGGACCCTGAAAGGGTTAAATTCATTCTCCAAGCATCTGCTGTAGTACAATGTATCCCCGAACATCGGCCGTAATCCGTAATCCGTAATCCGGAAGGTCAGCCTAAATTCGAAGAGGTCTAAATTTGAAGCAGTATTCCCCATAAGAATTAATGTATATACAATTAATCCATTCCAGATACCCAAGAATATTAACAAAAAATATATCTTTTAAAGATTAATTATAATTTTACGTACACAAAACAATGAGAACTAAATAAATAAATGAACATTTAAATCACTATTACATACCTTTATTGAAGACAGGGAGGAGGAGAGAGGGAGGACTAATTATTGTTTGGAAGGGATATCCCCCTCCATAAGGACTTCAGGTATCAAAGCCCTCTCTGGAGTTACTCCCTGCCTGCCTGCTACACTCCCTGCCTCCCTTCCACACTCCCTGTTTCTCTGCTACACTCTCTGCCTGTCTGCTATACTCCCTGCCTCCCTTCCACACTCCCCGTTTCCCTGCTACACTCCCTGCCATACTCCCTGCAAGCCTGTTACACTCCCTGCCTGCCTGCCACATTCCTTGCTTCTCTCCACATCTTCCATTGTTTGTGATTTCTCTTTCATTAACATGTTTACCCCTTTCACCACATTAGCTTCCTTGATTTGTTCTTTCTTTGCCAGGATAGAAGTGATTGTTGATTTGGATTTCCCACACACCCTGGCAAGTTCTAGAACTCAAACACCACTCTCATATTTTTCAATAACTTCTTTCTTAAATTCTATCGTGTTTCTCACTCTTTACCAAAGGGCTGGCACTCTGAACTTTCCTTGGGCCCATGGTGGCTTATTTCACAGTCACACTTAATAAACAAGCACAAAAACCAATGGATTTTAAGGAAATGTTTGGATGAATGCGCGGAGTATATGCTCATTCACCAAGAGACTGACTCACCTACGCAGCGGTGTCCCGGTGGGAGGCGGGCTGATGCATATAATACGGCCGTTTAAGCGAGGCACTGGCCGAAATGAGCAAAATTTTCGGCCCCAAAACTGGCCTAAATACGAATCGGCTGATAAATGCAGCGGCCATATTCGGGGCTTTCCACTGTATGTATTTAAAAGTTTCTTCGGTTGAAGACTCACCACCAGTTCTCTTTCTCCAAGCACCATTGCCATTTTTTTTTTTTTTTTTGGTCCCTCCACCTACTCGTATGTCTAGCAGACATAATACTAGCTGTGTTTCATGTATGCATATCTTTGAGTACATGACTTTCATGAAAAATAATTAATCTTAATACTTTTCTGCAGGTGTAAATAGTTTAGCAAAGTACTTAGGATCCATAGACTCTGTATATGGTGAAGCTTTTGTCAGTGAATCATGGCGAGAGGTTGTAGAACGCTGGGAAAAGCCTGATGTTCAAGAAGTTGTTAACCGCGTCCATCACTACCTCACACAAGCACAGCAAACATTACATCTGCCTATTGCTGAGGCCATGTTAACTTACAAGGAAAAGAGGTAAGACATAATATTGTTACCCACTTACAAATATTAACAGACTAGTTATTAAGTTAGAAACGGAGAAAGTAGATTTTTTAAAAACACTCCTGTCCAATTATGAGGGTTGTTCAATCCTAATTTCTTGAAATTGTGATTGAGAGATGGTGTCATTTTATTTGGGAAATATTTCTGCTTACATTACCAAAATATATATATATATTTTTTTTTTTTTTTATCACACTGGCCGATTCCCACCAAGGCAGGGTGGCCCGAAAAAGAAAAACTTTCACCATCATTCACTCCATCATGTCTTGCCAGAAGGGTGCTTTACACTACAGTTTTTAAACTGCAACATTAACACCCCTCCTTCAGAGTGCAGGCACTGTACTTCCCATCTCCAGGACTCAAGTCCGGCCTGCCGGTTTCCCTGAACCCCTTCATAAATGTTACTTTGCTCACACTCCAACAGCACGTCAAGTATTAAAAGCCATTCATCTCCATTCACTCCTATCAAACACGCTCACGCATGCCTACTGGAAGTCCAAGCCCCTGCACACAAAACCTCCTTTACCCCCTCCCTCCAAACCCTTTTCCTAGGCCGACCCCTACCCCGCCTTCCTTCCACTACAGACTGATACACTCTTGAAGTCACACTGTTTTGCTCCATTCTCTCTACATGTCCGAACCACCTCAACAACCCTTCTTCAGCCCTCTGGACAACAGTTTTGGTAATCCCGCACCTCCTCCTAACTTCCAAACTACGAATTCTCTGCATTATATTCACACCACACATTGCCCTCAGACATGACATCTCCACTGCCTCCAGCCTTCTCCTCGCTGCAACATTCATCACCCATGCTTCACACCCATATAAGAGCGTTGGTAAAACTATACTCTCATACATTCCTCTCTTTGCCTCCAAGGACAAAGTTCTTTGTCTCCACAGACTCCTAAGTGCACCGCTCACCCTTTTCCCCTCATCAATTTTATGATTCACCTCATCTTTCATAGACCCATCCGCTGACACGTCCACTCCCAAATATCTGAATACATTCACCTCCTCCATACTCTCTCCCTCCAATCTGATAAATGTGAAAAATAGATAACAAAATTCATCCTGTTTATGTGAGCAAGGGTATGGATACATATTTTTTCTGGATACTGTTAAACTTATAGTGAAATCTCTCCACACATAAATTTATATTTTTGTATTAATATGTTTGTTTCATGTCATTATGTATATGGGTTATAAATATAACAATTTTGAAAAAAAAAAAAATCTCCAAAACTATATTTTTATATTCATGGTGAAGTGCTAAACCCATAATGGGAAGTTATGTGGTTTGATAAAAAAAAGGGGGTGGGGAGGGTAGCACTAATTCCTGAGATCAAGAGCTCTTCACCAGCATTAAGGTGCCCATTTGAAGGGTCCAGAATTGAAGTACTGCTCAGACTAGAATATAGTGTATTTAAGGTTGCTTTACAATATTGTGACATAGGTGAATATCGTGAAAAAAAATTTTTTTGCCTAATACTACTTGGGTAACTAACACATTTTGAGATTACATTATATTGAATGTCCAGTATAACATGATGATTGTAAGTTATAAAATTATAGTTGAGAATATATATGTTAAGCAGTAGGTTACTAATGTCTGGCAAAAACTGCTTTCACCTGCAGTGGAGATGATGAATCATCTCAAGCATTTGTGCCATTCATAATGGATGTCCGGTTGGGTAGTGGTGATGTGACATCATCTTCAGTTGACCTTGATGACCCTATAACCGCTCCAGCAGCTGTAATACTTCCTGGCTCTCCTCCAGCAGCATCAACACCTACAACGGGACTGAATATTGATAAAACTCGGGACAACACTACTCCTCCATCATCACCAAATATTAATAGTTCACATTTAGCCAAGTAAGCAGTTTAAACTAGTTCAGAATTTAGATACAGTACATATTACAGTATATTACTTAATCTTTCAGTTTTCTACAATAACCCTTTCAGGGTCCATAGGCCAAATCTCAAAGGGTGCACCAGGGTCCAAGAATTTTGAAAAAAAAAAAAAAAAAATTATTTTCTTACTGATTTAAAGATAATAATTTTCTGTAGGTAATAAAACAGAATAAAATTTCCCTAAAATTGCATTATTTTATTTTAGGTTTTTGTTACTTTTTTCTTTTCTTTTCTAATTTTTTTTCCAGTAACTTTTGTGGCCTGTGAGACCAATATAATGTATAATTGTACACTCATTGTATTCAACACAATAACTGCACTAATTTGCTTATCATTTTACTGGTTACAAAACTATTTTACAAGTTTATTATATGGTACAGAAACAGGGATCCCTATGGAAATATGTCACTGATTTTTTTGGGTTATCCTAGGATTTTATACACATGCTGCTATGTATGATAATCGATGTAACTGTATTTGTGTGCACCTGAATAAACTTATTCAAGCATCGTAAGTAAGTTTATTTAGGTATACACAAATAAAGTTACATAGATTATCATACATAGCAGCATATGTTTGGAGAACCTAGGATAACCTCAAAAAGTCAGACAGACTTAGTTCCATTAGGGTCCCTGTACCATATGGCACATTGTACCATATGGTATCATTGTATGATATGCCACCATTGTACCATATGGTACCATTGTACCATATGGTTCAAAACCATAGACTTCCTCTTCAGATCCACTTCCATCAGTCTTAGAACCATAGGTTGGGAGGAGGAGTCAGAATTTGCCCGGGGAGTGAGAGCTTCCTTGCCACCAGGCATAGTGAACAAAGCTATTTTGGTGGGGTTCCCACAATGCCATGCGGGCATCCAGATTTTTTGTATAGTGTGCACACAGACCCATTCTCTTAGATGTAGGCCTACCAGCCTTCTCGAGCTAAATTTGAGGCCACTAGAATTTTGGCGTAGTTCTACGGTTTGGACCCACAACTCAAAGCCGTAGAACTTCGGCACGGACCTTGAAAGGGTTAATATTAAAGAAGTAGTTGAAAGCTGGTAGTAATTGTCTTTGGGAGCAGACATAGAATTAGGGAATGTCTGCTGCTAGTTCTGGGAATAGTTGTTTTGAGAAAAATTTATTTATTAATCTTAGGTGCACTACACAAGATTCTACAAAGATTGCTTTTCCCTAAGGAAGAAACTTAATTGCAATGAGAAGGGCAGGGATAAAGGGAAAGGAGGTGTGTGCTGTTTCCGTGACCCAACAGGCAGCCTTCAGTAAGACTGCTGATAAGGGGCAGACTAAATGTTGCTCATCTTATATCACTATATGGGTATCTTGCTTATCATTATTGCAAGCAGTTTCAACAGATACAGTCTCCAGAAGCCATACCATGGTAATAAGTTGAAAATGTATTTAAATCTTAATTCAAATGTTGGTTCAAAGTTCTACTGCAAAAAGTAAACAATAACAAGATGGGTTAGCATTAACCCTTTCATGGTTTCAGCCGTACTAGTATGGCTTACGCGCCAGTGTCCAGGACGTACTAGTACGCATAAATTCTAGCGCCTTCAAATCTAGTGAGAGAAAGCTGGTAGGCCTACATATGAAAGAATGGGTCTATGTGGTCAGTGTGCATAGTATAAAAAAATCCTGCAGCACACAGTGCGTAATGAGAAAAAAAAAACTTTGTGTTTTTGGATTAAAACAGCGACTTTGCACTATACTTTCGTATGGTATTTATTGTTGTATTCTAGTTTTCCTGGTCTCATTGTATAGAATGGAAGACATATTACAGAAATTGAGATGATTTTGACTGGTTTTACAACGAAAAGTACCTTGAAATTGAGCTCAAAGCAGAAATGTTCGATTTTTACCAAAGTTCAAAAGTTAACAAATCATGCTAAGTGTCCAATACACGTCAACTGGTGAGTCTAATATTCTTTCACAAGTGCGCCGATATTATTTATACCATTTCTACACTAATGCAGTAGTCTGCATAACAGTAAATCTAATTTTTTTTGTGAGAATAAAAATTCAAAGTGGAAAGCAAAAGAAATGTAAAAGGGGCCTGGGGACATCACTAATGAACAGAGGAAATGTTATTTTAGTGCCAGGAATGTCTTTCTTGTTTATTCTGGACCCTATTTGGAAATTGGCATCTTTTGAAATTTGTGTGAAATTGGCAAAATTGCTAAATTCTGACCACTGTATTGGATAGTTGAAATCAGTAAATTGGTGGTTTTTTTGTACTCATTCAATAGAAAAAATGAAGTTCTAGCAAAATAGTTATGATTTTTGTAGACTAGTACATTGGAATTGGCCAAAAATAGGGCTCAAAGTGGGCAAAATCGCTGATGCATAAACATCGTCGAGACCGCTAACTTCGCGAGAGCATAATTCTGTAAGCTTTCCATCAAATTTCATACTTTTGGTGTCATTATGATCGGGAAAATATTCTCTATCTTTATAAGAAAAAAATTTTTTTTTTTTTTATTTGAAATTGGGGGACCCTGAGAACAAGTCTCTGAGAGGGCCTGTGGACCCTGAAAGGGTTAAGGGGTATACAGTATATCATGTGACCACATGGTTAACTGATCTTATTAATGGGGTTCTGTGTTTAACAGTTGAATGCCATTGGGGGATTGTATTTTTTTTTTTTTTTTCAAAATACAGAAGTTATATTTTCTCAGGGGTTTGTGTTATTTAAATATTTTTGTATTCTCCCAATTAGTCTTTAACATTTAATACTTCTTTCAGCTACAAACTGATATCTGAAGGTATAGGCCAGGAGCCCCTTGATCTTCAGGTTGATTACTGGCTGGTGCGGGGATCAGGTCGGGAAGAAAAAGAAAAGGACAAAGAGAAGGATAAGGCAAGAGTTGAAGGTGGAAAATATACCCTCAAGACGAGCTTCCGTACCCTGCAAGTGGCTCGGTTGGCACCTCTTGGTGTGACACATCCATTTGATCCTAGCACGTGCCATCACCTAACACTGTCATTTGCCACAAAGGAAAAGAAACAAAGAAGTAAGCTAGATTATTAATCTTATAATATTCATTGGGAGGCAATCAGATTTGATCTGAGGAAGAAAAAGGGTAACTCCTATTCTTTAGATCAAAAGTCTTTTCACTAGTATCAGTGTACCCCCCCTCCTCCCCAAGAAGGAAGAATATATTAAATATAATTAATCTTTAACTAATATTATACAGTACATGAAAAAATTAATCTTTTATATGTATTCTAGTTAAAGATGTTTTATTTATTTTTTATAAGGTTATCCTTTTTTATTTCTGAGTGTATTTGTATTAACTGATATAAGCAGTTAGTGGTTTATTGTATGAAGATTATGAAAAAATAAGTCTCCTGCTTAACTGTCTATAATGGGATAGTTTTTTCTTTTATGTAATTCAAAAAGTTTATAGCTGTTCGCTTCCTTCAAAAATGTTTTTACTTATACAACTAATATCTGCATTACTAAGGAGCCTATAACAGAAAATTAATTAAGAATTTTTACAAAGATATATGCAAAAAATGACTGTAAATTCCTATAAAGTGACTTAGATATAATGAGCAAATTGTGTGATGTAATGAATAAAGTTCATGTGTGGAGGCAAAAATGAGAATGTACCAGAAAATATTGGTACCAATACTTGTACATGAGTGCAAGATATGGGTTTTGAATGCTGCAGCAAAAAAGAGGTCAGAGGCAGCCGAGATGTCATGTATGAGAGTAGTATGTGAATGTCATGCATAGAATTCTGGGTGACCAAGGGCATAATTCAGAGGGCTGATGAGGAGTTGAGTTTTTTGGGGCATGTAGAATGGATGGGGGAGGGATAGGCTGATAAAGAGGATGGGTAAATTTGGGTTGGAAAGTAAGAGGGGAAGGGGTCATTCCAGGAACAATTAGAAGGAAGGGGTGTAAGACAGTTTGAATTTTAGGGGCTGAAGCATCCAGCAGGACTATGTGAGTATGTCAGATGTAGGAGTGCATGGAGACAAGTGGTTTTTAATGAATGTACTGTTGGAGTGAAAGCAAGATAACTTTTCTGAAGAGATTCAGGGAAACTAGATCTTATTATTACGTATTATATAATCAAGGGGGAAGCGCTCTAACCCGTAGGATTATACAGTGCCTGTGGGGGGTTGTGGAAGGTATTCAGGCTTAAATCAGGGAACTGGAGCACAGATCCAGTTCCCTAGATCTAGAGCCCTTCACCAGCATGAAGGAACTTTTCTTGAGGGGAGGGAAACTAGATAGCTGGATTTAGTCCTGGTGGTGTGGAAAGGCAGTGCCTGTACTCTGAAGGAAGGGGGGGGGGAGCTTTTGCAGTTAGAGAGCAATCTGTTTGTGAAGTCAGCACGCTATTGGCTTAGATGGTGATTGTTTTTTCTTCTTTGGATCATCCTGCTCTGGTAGATGGCTGTTGAGTTAAAAATAAAAAGTGAAATCTTGACAAATGGATCTGTGAAAGACAGAATAAACAAGAAAAAGTAGGTGAAGCATTGAGACATCTGGAAAGAATTATACTTTTTTTTTTTTTCCTCAACAAACCGGTCGTATCCCACTAAGGCAGGGTGGGCCAGAAAGAAAAATGAAAGTTTCTCTTTTTAAATTTAGTAATTTATACAAGAGAAGGGGTTATTAGCCCCTTGCCCCCAGCATTTTAGTCGCCTCTTACAACACGCATGGGTTACAGAGGAAGAATTCTGTTCCACTTCCCCATGGAGATAAGTAAACAAGAACAAGAACTAGTAAGAAAATAGAAGAAAACCCAGAGAGGTGTGTATATTATATATATATATATATATATATATATATTTTTATATATATATATATATATATATATATATATATATATAGAGTTAGAGCTAAAGAAGGAGTAGCAATAATGTTGAAGGATAAGCTATGGCAGGAAAAGAGGGACTATAAATGTATTAATTCAAGGATTATGTGGAGTAAAATAAAGATTGGATGTGAAAAGTGGGTTTTAATAAGCGTGTATGCACCTGGAGAAGAGAGAAGTGTAGAGGAGAGAGAGAGATTTTGGGAAATGTTGAGTGAATGCGTGGGGAGTTTTGAATCAAGTGTGAGAGTAATGGTGGTTGGGGATTTCAATGCTAAAGTGGGTAAAAATGTTAGGGAAAGGAGTAGTAGGTAAATTTGGGTGCCAGGGGTAAATGTAAATGGGGAGCCTTTAATTGGCTATGTGTAGAAAAAAATTTTGGTAATAAGTAATACATTTTTAGGGAAAAAGAGGATAAATAAATATACAGGATGATGATGTAGCACGTAATAAAAGTAGTTTTATTAGATTATGTATTGGTGGATAAAAGGTTGATGGGTAGGTCAGGATGTACATGTTTATAGGGGGCAAATGATATATCGGATCATTATTTAGTTGTAGCTACAGTTAGATTTTAGAGGTAGATGGGAAAAGAGGAAGGTGGCAACAACAAGTAAGAGGGAGGTGAAAGTGTATAAACTAAGGGAGGAGGAAGTTTGGGTAAAGATATAAGCGACTATTGGCAGAAAGGTGGGCTAGTGCAAGATGAGTAGTGGGTGGTGGGGGGGGGGTTGAAGAGGGTTGGAATAGTTTTAAAAATGCAGTATTAGAATGTGGGGCAGAAGTTTGTGGTTATGGGGAGGGTGGGGGCAGGAGGAAAGAGGAGTGATTTGGGGGAATGATGAAGTAAGGGTGTGATAAAAGAGAAAAAGGTAGCTTATGAGAGGTTTTACAAAGCAGAAGTGTTATAAGAAGAGCAGAGTTTATGGAGAGTAAAGAAAGGTAAAAAGAGTGGTGAGAGAGTGCAAAAGGAGAGCAGATGATAGAGTGGGAGAGGCACTGTCAAGAATTTTAATGAAAATAAGAAAAAATTTTGGAGTGAGTTAAACAATTAAGAAAGCCTAGGGAAAATATGGATTTGTCAGTTAAAACAGAGTAGGGGGGTTAGTAGATGGGGGAGATGGAGGTATTGGGTAGATGGCGAGAATATTTTGGGAACTTTTAAATGTTAAGGGAAAGAAACAGAGGCAGTAATTTCATGCACTGGTCAGGGAGGTATACCATCTTTTAGAGTGAAGAAGAGCAGAATGTAAGTGTGGGGGAGGTTTCGTGAGGCCCTTACGTAAAATGAAAGGGGGTAAAGCAGCTGGAACTGATGGGATCATGACAGAAATGTTTAAAAGCAGGGGGGGATATAGTGTTGGGTGGTTGGTACTTTTGTTTAATAAATGTATGAAAGGGGAAGGTACCTAGGGATTGGCAGAGAGCATGTATAGTCCCTTTATATAAAGGGAAAAAAGGGGACAAAAGAGACTGTAAAAATTTTTAGAGGAATAGCTTTCTGGGGTATACCAGGAAAAGTGTACGGTAGGGTTATAATTGAAAGAATTAGAGGTAAGACAGAATGTAGGATTGCGGATGAGCAAGGAGGTTTTAGAGTGGGTAGGGGATGTGTAGATCAGGTGTTTACATTGAAGCATATATGTGAACAGTATTTAGATAAAGATAGGGAAGTTTTTATTGCATTTATGGATTTAGAAAAGGCAAATGATAGAGTGGATAGAGGAGCAATTGTGGCAGATGTTGCAAGTATATGGAATAGGTGGTAAGTTATTAAATGCTGTAAAGAGTTTTTATGAGGATAGTGAGGCTCAGGTTAGGGTGTGTAGAAGAGAGGGAGACTACTTCCCGGTAAAAGTAGGTCTTAGACAGGGATGTGTAATGTTCACCATGGTTGTTTTAATATATTTATAGATGGGGTTGTAAAGGAAGTAAATGCTAGGGTGTTTGGGAGAGGGGTGGGATTAAATTATGGGGAATCAAATTCAAAATGGGAATTGACACAGTTACTTTTGCTGATGATACTGTGTTTATGGGAGATTCTAAAGAAAAATTGCAAAGGTTAGTGGATGAGTTTGGGAATGTGTGTAAAGGTAGAAAGTTGAAAGTGAACATAGAAAAGAGTAAGGTGATGAGGGTGTCAAATGATTTAGATAAAGAAAAATTGGATATAAAATTGGGGAGGAGGAGTATGGAAGAAGTGAATGTTTTCAGATACTTGGGAGTTGACGTGTCGGCGGATGGATTTATGAAGGATGAGGTTAATCATAGAATTGATGAGGGAAAAAAGGTGAGTGGTGCGTTGAGGTATATGTGGAGTCAAAAAAACGTTATCTATGGAGGCAAAGAAGGGAATGTATGAAAGTATAGTAGTACCAACACTCTTATATGGGTGTGAAGCTTGGGTGGTAAATGCAGCAGTGAGGAGACGGTTGGAGGCAGTGGAGATATCCTGTTTAAGGGCAATGTGTGGTGTAAAATATTATGCAGAAAATTCGGAGTGTGGAAATTAGGAGAAGGTGTGGAGTTAATAAAAGTATTAGTCAGAGGGCAGAAGAGGGGTTGTTGAGGTGGTTTGGTCATTAGAGAGAATGGATCAAAGTAGAATGACATGGAAAGCATATAAATCTATAGGGGAAGGAAGGCGGGGTAGGGGTCGTCCTCGAAAGGGTTGGAGAGAGGGGGTAAAGGAGGTTTTGTGGGTAAGGGGCTTGGACTTCCAGCAAGCGTGCGTGAGCGTGTTAGATAGGAGTGAATGGAGACGAATGGTACTTGGGACCTGACGATCTGTTGGAGTGTGAGCAGGGTAATATTTAGTGAAGGGATTCAGGGAAAAACCGGTTATTTTCATATAGTCGGACTTGAGTCCTGGAAATGGGAAGTACAATGCCTGCACTTTAAAGGAGGGGTTTGGGATATTGGCAGTTTGGAGGGATATGTTGTGTATCTTTATGTGTGTATGCTTCTAGACTGTTGTATTCTGAGCACCTCTGCAAAAACAGTGATAATGTGCGAGTGTGGTGAAAGTGTTGAATGATGATGAAAGTATTTTCTTTTTGGGGATTTTCTTTCTTTTTTTGGGTCACCCTGCTTCGGTGGGAGACGGCCGACTTGTTGAAAAAAAAAAAAAAAATATATATATATGCTTGTACATGTATGTGTAGTGTGACCTAAGTGTAAGTAAAAGTAGCAAGACGTACCTGAAATCTTGTATGTTTACGAGACCGAAAAAAGGACACCAGCAGTCCTACCATCATGTAAAACAATTACAGGCTTTGGTTTTGTACTCACTTGGCAGGACGGTAGTACCTCCCTGGGTGGTTGCTGGTTACCAACCTACAACCTAAAAGAATTTTACTTATGGAGGCAAAAAGAGAAAATGTACCAGAATATAGTGGTATTGTGCCAACACTTTAATGTGGGTACAAGGCATGGGCTTTAAATATTACAGTGAGGAAGAGGCTAAGACAGCAGAAGTGTCAGAGTAGGAATGGGATGATACCAAAATTTTTGCTGATATCAGTACTCAGTTTTAGGCTGTTGGAGTGTGAGCAAAGTAACATTTATGAAGGGGTTCAGGGAAACCGGCAGGCCGGACTTGAGTCCTGGAGATGGGAAGTACAGTGCCTGCACTCTGAAGGAGGGGTGTTAATGTTGTAGTTTAAAAACTGTAGTGTAAAGCACCCTTCTGGCAAGACAATGATGGAATGAATGATTTTCGGGCCACCCTGCCTTGGTGGGAATCGGCCAGTATGATAATAAAATAAAATAATCAGACATCAAAATTAGAAGATACTTACCAACATTATTAAAATTAGCTGATGCCGCGGTGGGAGACTGCCGACTTGTTGAAAAAAAAAAAAAAAACTTACCAACATTATTAAAATTAGCTGATGTTCGTTAGTATTGAACTTTAGGCTAATACTGATCACTACTTTGGCACATCCCTATCAGAGAGCAGTGTATAGTTTGAATCTGTAGAGAGTTCATAGCATGACATTAAAAGATGGTGTGGGGTTACAGGAGGTATAATTGAGAGGGTGGAGGTGTTGTGGTAATTTGGGCATTTAGAGAAGATGGAGCAGAATACAATGACCAAGAGGGTACATAATATATCCAGGGTGAAGGGTGTGAAAGAGGTTTTAACCCTTAATTGGTCCAAACGTATATATACGTTTTTTCAACATCTGAAAGTATGTAAAAAAATGTAAATCTTTTTTGTTTTACATTTGAAAACGTGTAAAAAAAACTTTTATCTACATTTTTTTTTTGTTATATTTGAAAATATGTAAAAAAAAGTAGATCTACTTTTGTAGCACTACGAATTTGAACGTCAATCTCTTTGGACCGTTTAAGGGTTAAATAGTAGGGACCTGACCATCCAGCAGGCACTAGGGAACATGTTTGATTAGTGACCTGAGGACAATTCCACTAGTATTATTATTATAATCAAAAAGAAGCACTAAGCCAATTCCACTAGTAGATAGGAAGGAGGGGTGGGGATGTTGCAGTCAGGGTAATCTGAATTGCGATATCAGCCCACTCACACTTTTGGCAAGACAGTGATTGAATGAATTATGGGTGAATGTGCTTCCTTCTTTGAGTTGTCCTGCCTTGGTTAGAGATGACCATTGAGGTAAAAAAAAAAAAATCACTGTACAGTTATGTGCCACTAGGCATGAAAAGATGAAGAATAGTTTTGTGAATATTTGTATAGGCTGTTTAACATGCATTTGTTTTCAGTTATGCGGCTCGGCAAAAAGAAGGAAAGGGAGCGTGAAACAGAGAGTCGAAGAGAAGTTGTAGATGGTGTGAGTAGATTATTGGGAAGTGCCAAGAATCAACCATTTAAAGGTATGTCTTATGTAAAAGGAACATAGTTCCCCTTCTTCCACACACATTTTGGATGGTCTCCTAGAAGTGGTATCCATTTGACTATTTTGTCTGAAAATGAATTTTCCATACTAGGTTTGGAGGTACCTGTAGAAACTTTCAAATAATTGTAAGATTTTCCACCACTGGTAGGGTTAGGCCCAACAGTGGTTGATTCCAGTGATTATTAGCCATGTGGCCTGATTCCAGCCCAAGCTTAGGATAGTTCTTCAATATTTTTTCTAGTGCTCACTAGAGCATTGCTGTACATGCTTGTCTCCACTCAGAAAACATTATACTAATTTAATACCAATTTTCAGAAAAAAATTGCACCTTATTGGATAGTCTTAGCAAATACCCATCAAAAGATATATGAATGGGAAGTACAGTGCCAGCACTCTGAAGGAGGGGTGTTAATGTTGCAGTTTTATAACTGTAGTGTTAGCGTGCCTCTGGCAAGACAGTGATGGAGTGAATGATGATTGTTTTTTTCTTTTTCGGGCCGCCCTGCTTTGGTGGGAAACGGCCAATGTGTTAATAAAAACAAAAAAAAAATTAAACACATTGGCCGTCTGCACGAAGGCAGATTCACTGTCTTGCTAGAGATGTGCCAAACTGCAAATATCCCCACCCTTCCTTCAGAATGCTGTACTTCCCGCCTCCAGGACTCAGCCCAGCTAACCAGTTTCCCCTGAATCCCTTCACAGATGCTATCTTGCTTACATATATGTAATTTATTTACAGTGGACCCCCGGTATTCGATATTAATCCGTTCCTGAGAGGTCATCGAATACCGAAAATATCGAAAAGCGAATCAATTTTCTTCATAAGAAATAATGGAAATCAAATTAATCCGTGCTAGACACCCAAAAGTATGAAAAAAAAAATTTACCACATGAAATATTAAGTTTAATGCAGTAGAATAATTACAATAACAACAGAATAATTGACATTTACCTTTAATGAAGATCTGGTGATGATTGATAGGGAGAGGGGAGTGTGGATGGTGTTAGTGTTTAGAAGGGGAATCCCCTTCTATTAGGACTTGAGGTAGCAAGTCCTTTTCTGGGGTTACTTCCCTTCTTTTAATGCCACTAGGACCAGCTTGAGAGTCACTGGACTTCTGTCGCACAACATATCTGCCCATAGAGGCCTGTACCTCTCTTTCCTTTATGACATTCCTGAAGTGTTTCACAACATTGTCAGTGTAATAGTCACCAGCACGGCTTGCAATAGCTGTGTTAGGGTGATTATCATCAAAAAAGGTTTGCGCTTTAAGCCACATTGCACACATTTCCTTAATCTTAGAAGTAGGCAACTTCTTCAATTTCTCTGTCCCCTCCTCTGAAGCAGTTTCCTCAGGTCTGGCCTCTTGCTATTGAAGATGATCTAGCAGCTCATCAGTGGTTAGTTCTTCATTGTCCTCCTCCACCAACTCTTCCACATCCTCCCCAAGGACTTCCCCAATGCCACAATGGATTCCTCAACTGGCATAGGCTTCTCAGGGTTAGCCTCAAATCCTTCAAAATCTTTTTTGTCTACACATTCTGGCCACAGTTTTTTCCAAGCAGAGTTCAAGGTCCTCTTAGTCACTCCCTCCCAAGCTGTACCTATAAGGTTTATACAATTGAGGATATTAAAGTGATCCTTCCAAAACTCTTTTAGAGTCAGTTGAGTTTCTGTGGTCACTACAAAGCACTTTTGAAACATAGCTTTTGTGTACAGTTTCTTGAAGTTGGAAATGACCTGCTGGTCCATGGGCTGCAGGAGAGGAGTGGTATTAGGAGGCAAAAACTTGACCTTAATGAAGCTCATGTCCCCAGAAAGTCGCTCTGCCAAGTCTGTAGGATGACCAGGGGCATTGTCTAATACCAGGAGGCACTTAAGGTCTAATTTCTTTTCAGTTAGGTAATTTTTCACAGTGGGGGCAAATGCATGGTGTAACCAGTCATAGAAAAGTCCCTAGTGACCCATGCCTTACTGTTTGCCCTCCACAGCACACACAAATTAGCCTTGAGGACATTGTTTTTCCTGAACACTTCTGGGAGTTTCAGAGTGATACACCAATAAAGGCTTCACTTTGCAATCACCACTAGCATTGGCACACATCAGCAGAGTAAGCCTGTCTTTCATAGGCTTATGTCCTAGGAGTGCCTTTTCCTCCTGAGTAATGTAGGTCCTGCTTGGCATTTTCTTCCAAAACAGGCCTGTTTTGTCACAATTAAACACTTGTTCAGGTTTAAATTCGTCACTGTCTATGTAATCCTTGAATTCCTTCACATACTTTTCAGCTGCTTTTTGGTCCAAACTGGCAGCCTCACCATACCTAATGACACTATGTATGCCACTATGATTCTTAAATCTTTCAAACCAACCTTTGCTGGCCTTAAATTCACTCACATCAGCACTAGTTGCAGGCAATTTCTTTACCAAATTGTCATGCAACTGCCTAGCCTTTTCACAAATGATCGCTTGAGAGATGCTATCTGTTTTTCATTTATCCACACCAATAATAGTCTCTCAACATTTTCTAACACTTGCGGTCGCTGTTTCGTAATCACAGTTGCACCTTTTGCAAGAACAGCTTCCTTGATTGCCGTTTTCCTGGTCACTATAATAGAGATGGTTGATTGGGGTTTACTATACAACCTGACCAGCTCCGACACACGCACTCCCCTTTCGTACTTTGCAATTATCTCTTTCTTCATTTCAATAGTCATTAGCACCTTTTTTCTCGAAGGGTTGGCACTAGAAGCTTTCTTGGGGCCCATGGGGACTTATTTTGCAGAAACAAGCACCAAAAAAGTGATAATATGGAATGTACCGAATGTATCCTTAGATGCACGCACACTGGCGCACACGTGGACACATCTCGTACGAATCGTATCGAATACCGGGTTTTCAATTGGATACAGAGGCGAAATTTTTGCGATAAAATGTATCGAATACCGGGGGTCCACTGTATTTTCTTTAAGAGTATGATTTTATTTGCATATAGCAAATATGTATTTTTTATCCACAGTGAGCGTAGATTCTGCAGAGTGGACAAATGTGAAGTTCTTCCAGTTGTCCTCGCAGTGGCAGACACAGATCAAATACTTCCCTATCTCTCTCTTTAGTCTACAAGACTCAAACTTGTGACTCAGTACCTTTCAAGAATCTGAAAATTAGCCTTTTCTTCAACTCCAGGACACAACTTGACCACAAGCATCAGAAGTTAGAACTTTAGGCCACCACAATATGCAGCTTAACACCACAAGCCATTGAACAATCTCATGTAGTGATTCCTATAATTTGTCACACTTTGAGGAATAATCAAGTCAAGCAAGTTTAAGAAGAACACCCGTGAAAATAATTCTTCAAAGATGTCACTATTAGAGATTGTGAATTTTTTTTTTTATTATGAAATGTTACCAGGAAGGCTTTGGACAGCTTGAAGGATAGGCAAATAGAATTTAGTCAGCAATCCTTGATCTCATGTCTAAAATTGAGTGTTGTCTGCCATATAAAATGAAAGCGTGAAAATATAAATGTTAAGGACTCAGTGTCTAGGCTTATGTGGTACCTGAAATACGTCATACTCAACAGTTTTAAAATTAAAATAACCTGTCATTTGTATAACATACAAATACTTTTCAAATTTTTCCTTTTTCTTAATTGTTGAGTGTGCCAGATATTTTAGTTACTATAAATCTAATTGTTTTGTTGTGGACTATTTGATTCAAGAATATATAAAAATTGTAATTTATGAAACATTGTATATCAAAATTTACTCATACATATGGTACATTATAAATTAAATACTATAAATATTCATAAAATAACATTATAAATTAATTTTTCTTTAAAATATTAATTTGGTTTTGTACCACTATACCATTAGTAAAAATAAATCATTACCAAAAACTAGTGGAAAATTAAGTAAAGCATAATTATGCATTAAGTGATCATAACCATCTTTGAGAGAGAAATGCCGTCTCTCAGTATCTTGCTTCCTAGTTGTTGTGTATGTTTTGAAAAAGTATGAATTTGTGTGTTATTAATTGCTTCTCAGTGAAATATTCATGTGTAGATAAAGTATGCTTTCTCATTCTGTACGATTGTTGTGATGGTGTATTTTTGTATGACTGCATGATATGATGATAAACTAGATTGTGAAGCAAGTTTAGTTATGGCCTTATTAAGCACAAACCTTCTTTATAATGTGAGTGAAGGGAGAAGGTATAGGATGACAGAAATTGTTTTAAGTTTTATAAAATTTTATAAATTTCATCTAAAGTTGTAGATATGACTTATACAATAAGGCAAAAGAAGATAACTTTATTAAAAAAAACTGCTATAATAACTCTGAGACCTATATTGCTAATGTTTAGTGAATTGCCTACAAGATTTTATACACTCATTGCACTTACTACATTAACAGTGAAAGTTCTAGTGTCTACAAACCTCATCTGAAAATTTTGCAAATGTGCATTGTTCACTGAAAAGAAATAAGATATATCCTTTCAATTTTCATATACAAACGTGGTTATTTTAAATAACTAAGTAGGAGCAATAAGATATAATTAGAATTTTTACACCATTTTAAGTAGGTGGTGCCAAACCCATAGTTTGGTTAGAACTTGCTAGTCAGGCACCCAGATGGTGAGTTGGCCTGCTAAATTTGTGCACATAGGTCCTTAAAGATATCAAGCTTACCTAGTCAGGATTGGATCAGACCCAGAACAGACTATTCAAAACCTTGAATATTCAACACTGATGCATAACTTCAAAGATATATTTAAAAAATATTGAAAGTTAGTTTTGAAGAGGCAGTTGTAATATAAACTATGACAAAAATGCTGACAGCAAAAGCATGAGGGTTGACCCAAAGAAAATACTGAGGATCACACACCAAATTATGGGTTTCTAGTATATATACAGTTAAACCTGAACTCTCCCTACATCTGTTCCTGCCCATATGTGGATACATTAATTCATTTTGATACAGCTGTATAGTCCTTGTGGCTTAGCGCTTCTTTTTGATTATAAATAATAATCATTTCGATACAAAATTTTACATAACATTGCTCTTAATATGTATAAGTAAAAAGGTGAGTGCCGCCTTATGTATTTGTGGTGACAGACTGTCTGACCTGGTGTAACTGTTTATGATGAGAGACCAAAACACTACAGTGTTGTACCCAAGTGCTTAAGTTTTACTTTCTTGCAGAGTTAACACCCTGTAATTGTGAGATTGACTTATGAACTATATTTAGGTGGAGAAAGGATGAAATGATAAAAAAAAAAAAAAAAAAAGGTTTAACTTTCAGAACCAGAATGTCCACTTTAGGTTATAAGAGGTCCATTATTATTACACCATACAATCACAGGAATGTAGCAGATTCATAGGAATCATACAGCACCTGGGAATTGAAGGTAATAAGGGGATCAAGAGCCTCTCACTAACATAAGGGTAGGGGTCAGCAACATCTGGCCAAAGATAATGCACAAATGTGGGGGGACTTTAGTCAGATTAATAAATCAGGACTTACTTAGGGAATGGGAGTAGATATTTTTCAAGAGCACTTTAATTAGGAAGATCACTCAGTGCTCTTGGCAATTAAAAAGAAAATAGGCTAATAACACCCATGGTAAAACAAGAGCAAAAAATATATATTGTATGCTGTACACACACACATATGTACGTACGTACATTACAAACTCAATTAAATGTTAAAAAAAGCTAAATTACCCTGAGACCTCTACAGGCCTCCAAATAATTAGAAAAATAAGACAAGCAAGAATGCTGACATATAGAGCAAATAGTTTAAAATGTGCTCCACAGGATCTTGCCTTCAAGGATCATAATAGTGCCACTATCACATCTGCGAGGAAAATGATAGGATGGATAATGAGAACATTCAAGAGATGCCAAGCCACCTTTTTTAAATCACTTATTCTTTCTAGGCTGGAATACTGCTGTACATTAACATCTCCATTCAAAACAAGTGAAATTGCAGACCTAGAGAATGTACTGAGAACCTTTACTGCACATACAAGTTCCATCAAACACCTTAACTACTGTGAACACTTGGAAGCACTTGACTGGTACTCACTAGAGTGCAGGCGAGATACATCATAATCTACACCTGGAAAATTCTAGAGGGACTGGTCTCTAATCTGCAGAAATCATTCCCTATGAAAGCAAAAGACTTGGCAGGTGATGCAACATACCCCCAATGAAAAGTAGGGGCGCTGTTAATACACTAAGAGAAACCACAAGTGTCCAGGGCCCAGGACTTCAACAACCTCCCACCATCCATAAGGGGAATTACCAATAGATCCCTTGTTGTCTTCAGGAGGGAGCTGGACAGATACCTAAAGTCAGTGCCAGATCAGCCGGGCTGTGGTTCATACGTTGGACTATGTACAGCCATCAATACCAGCCTTGTTCCACTGGGGGGGGCTGTATAGGCCTGGTCATAGACCAAGCCATGGGGCTGTTGATCCCCAGAATACTCTCCAGGTAGACAGTGAGCTGCACATCAGAAGTCGCACAAAGATGGGTTGGAGCATCTGCAAGGTGGCTTCATGAGTGAGGTAAATGTGCTCAGTCCTCAGTTTTGAGAGAACCATTTCAAAATGATGCATCATGCTGGGGGTTAGGAGAGCAAAACTTCTATGTTCCTGCCAAACAAACTTGCTCCTTGTCTGTAAGACCCACCATGATTATTAATGGTATCAGGTACAGTGGACCCCCGGTTTTCATAATTAATCCATTCCAGAGAGAGTGACTAAACCCGAATCTGATGAATTCCGAATTAATTTTCCCATGAGAAATAATGGAAATCCAATTAATCAGCTCCCAACACCCAAAAGTATTAAAAAAATCTTTTTTTTTTACATGAAATACACATTTCCCTACACAGAAAACAATGAGACATGCAGAATAAATACTAAAATGACACCTTTATTGAAGACTTATTGATGAGTGATGAGACGGGAGGAGGGGAAAGGATGGTGTACTGTTGTTTGGAAGGGGAATCCTCTTCCATAAAGACTTCAGGTACCAAGTCATTTTCTGGGGTTACTTCTCTTCTTTGTTTTTTAATGCCACTAGGACCAGCTTGGGAGCCACTGGACCCCTGTTGCTCAAAAAAGTATTCCAGAGAGGTCTGTATCTGGCTATTTCTTTAAAACTTCCCTGCAATAGGACACAACATTGTCATTGTACATATTGCCAACACAGCCTGCAGCAGCTTTGTCAGGGTGATGTTCATCCATAAATGTTTGCACCTTTGTCCACATTGTACAAATCTCCTTAATGTTTGAAGAAGGCACCTACCTCCATCTCTTTTCTTCCTCCTCTGAAGAAGAAATTTCCTGAGCTGTGGTCTGTTGCTGTTGTAGAGGCTCTTGCAGCTCTGTAGTGGTTAGCTCTTCATTGTGGTCCTCCTCCACATCCTCCAAATTCACATCCAACCCCATGGAATTCCCCAATGCCACAATACTTTCCACAGCTGGCATAGGCTTCTCAGGGTCAGCCCCAAACCCTTCAAAATCCCTCTTTTGTACACATTGTGGCCACAGTTTTCTCCAAGTAGAGTTCAAAGTCCTGAAGTCACTCCCTCCCAAGCCTTACCTATAAGGTTTATGCAATGAAAGATATTGCAGTGATCTTTCTAGAACTCTCTTAGGGCCACACCAACAACAGAGTCGCCACAACTAACAGTATTTGTGATCTCTTGTAAGCATATTTGCACCTTTCACAACAACAGCTTCCTCGATTTCCTTTCTCTTGGCCACGATAGAAGCGATGGTTGTATGGGGTTTGTTATACAACCTGGCCAGCTCTGTGACATGTACTCCACTTTCATATTTTGCAATGATGTCTCTTGAATTCTCTAGTGTTTCTCACCCTACTTACCAGAGGGCTGGCATTAGAAGCTTTCTTTAGGCCCATGGTGGCTTATTTAGCAGTTGCAAGCACTAAAAATAATTGAATACAAAATATATCATATGAACGTGTGGGATCATCCTCACTGGCTGATAAATATGGCACACTGGCTGTAAATGGTGTGTCAGACCGCTCGGGCTGTGAGAATGCGTTCGGGATGAATGACTAATACCGAGTTCAATGACGATCACCGAGCCAATATTTTGACAAAAAAAAAAAAAACGTTACTTATTCCGAATTGTATGAATTCCGATGACATAATCCGTGCGTCCACTGTATTTGGTTTTTTAAATACAAGTAAATGAAATTACTATATTCACAAGAAATCACTTAACCTACATACTGTGGGACAGAGCAGCATAGCAAGTGAAACTGGACTCTTAGAATGTTTTGTTGCATATTGATCACTGATCATGTTATAGGTACAGCTGTATTCATTTGCTGGATTATAAAATGTGGATGAGATCCATGATCACTACAGTAAAAAGTTAATGCTTGCAACACACTAATGTTCACATGATAATAGTTCATGTACTGAAGGTGTGATGGTAAAAAATCTATATGTTTATACTGATAAATCTCAAATACACTTGCTGAATCTTACCCGTCATGAAAGTGGTTCCCCACCCCAAAACATACTCATGAAAGCAGTGAACTACTACAGGTCATACTGCTACTGGGATTAAAGGGATGGGATAACTGGGTTTGATCCAAGAAGGGAAAGGCAACTCCAATTCCATAAACAAAAGCATTTCATTAACATCAAGCCCCTCCACACATCAAAAAATATGCAGGTACTTTGAGTATATTAGTATAATCCTCCGGGTTTAGTGCTTCCCCTTTGATTATTATAATAATAATTTGAGTATATTAGCATCAGATAGTAGTCCCACTATGCAATTAGGTGATAGTAGTTACTAAAATTATTAAGCTTATGTTTGTGGTGTCCCTTCAGAATATAGTTATCTTGTGTGTTTTTAATAGTTAATAATTTTGCCTATTCCTTCTCTTAATTCAGACCAACCACTTGAAGGAATATTTCTCAACACCTTTCTATAATGTCAAGTAATTTAAAATTATAGCCTCTCCCTCCATTGCTGGCACCAAGAAATCCTCCTCGTCTGCCTTTTTATGTTGTTTTTCTTGCTGTTTGACACTTGTAGGTTTAGCGCTGAGGGCATTTGTTGTACTTTTAGGCTCTTAAAAAAATTTTTAAATTCTAAAAATCATCTTCAGTCACTAAGCTTTTTTATTCATACCACTGCTATATGTTATGAAAATTTGTTTCTGCATTTACTTTCAATATGGTATCCATATAATTGAAAGTCATTAATTAAAGTAACTCAGTTTGTCACTAGTGATATCAACAAGACTCCAAAGAATTGGATCCACCCACTACTTCCTTGGATCATACCTAATTGCCTTTTTTTTTTTTTTTCCCAGGTAATGTATGACTCCTATGGGTCATGTGCTTCCATAAACAAAAATTTTTATTTCAGTATATTCTTTCCTAAAACTTTGTCTTTCAAAATATTTGTTAACACTATGATGCCTTGAATAACTAAGTACTAAACCTGAAGCAGTCACAGTGTGTCTGGGAAATAAAAAGTAATCAGGTCTGATCTATGGAAAAGGCAGCTCTAATACCCTGGATCAAGAGCCCTTTGCCAGCATCAAGATATTTCCTTTAAAAGGTCATTCAAATGCTTTCTCTCCTTTTCAGTAATTCCTTATTTATACTAATTCCCGGTCTTGCTCTTTTATCTTGACACACTGTCCTGTGCTTACTGTTTTGATTTTTTTTTTTATCATTTTATTACTGTACTTGTATGTAATTCTTTCAAGTTAAATTTATCCTATTATTACTTTAGGGCTTGCCAAATTTTCTTTTTATGTTTTAAAGCTTTCTCCTCTTCTGGGACACCACTCATTGTACACTATGACACTGTAAACAATTTTTTTTTACCTTGATGGCTATCTTCCCAAAGAAACACATTCATCCAGCTGCTGTCTTTGATAGAAGTGTGCTGACATCATAATACTGATTATCCCCAGAATACAACATCCCCACCCCACCTTCAGATTGCAGGCACTGACCTTCCCACCTCAAAGACTACCTTGCTCACACATCCATTAAAAAAACACTCGTCTCTATTCCCTACCTCGTGTACTCACACAGTCCTACTGGATGCTTAAGCTTCCTTCACACATTCCTAGGACAACCCCTAATCCTTATCTTTCATCTCGGATTTATACACCCTCTTAGTGTATCCTTCCTGTTCATCCTCTCCAAATGCCCAAATCATCTCAACAACCAATCTTTAGCCCTCTGTATTAAACCCTTGGTAACCCTACATCTAATTTCTACACTCCAAACCCTCTGAATATTCACAACACACATTTCTCTTAAGCATGACACCTCCACTGCCTCTAGCCTCCTTGTTGGAACATTCAACGTTCATGCCTCATACCTACATTGAAGTGTTATACATATATGTATTACCACTTCCATGGGGAAATGGAAAATAATCCTTTCTTTGTAAGCCATGCGTGTCGCAAAAATCGACTAAAATGCCAGGAGCAAAGGTCTAGTAACCCCTTCTGTATAAATTACTAAATTAAAAAAAAAAAACCTTTCATTTCTTCTTTCTGGGTCACCCTGCTTTAGTGGGAGAAGGCCAGTGTGTTATAAATAAATCGTATATTTATATTAATGCAACCACAAGCAATTGGTATTTAAGCAGTAGCAAACTGCGACTAGCCAGGGATCGAACTTGTGTTATTTTAGCCTGCCTTGTGGACCATCAATCCTACAAACATGTTGATATTTGACTTGCTTCCCATGAGGCAGGTTAAAATAACGGGTTCGAACCCTGGCTAGCAGCAATTTGTTATTGCATGCATATACGTATCTATATACATACAGCCTCTCCTCACTTAATGACTGAGTTCTGTTCTTAAGACTATATCGTAAACGAATTCATCACTAAGCAAGGAGCATATTATAATGGTAATAGGTTTGTGTTAACCATCTTTGATATTGTTTTAATGTCACTTTTGCATCTTTTATAACATTTTTAGTATATCTTTAAATGTTTATACAGTAGCATACTGTATACTGTAATAAACCGAATAGAGGAAATCAGCTCTAATATACATTATTTAGGTATGCATACTGGTCAGAGAGTCCGTCATAAGTCCGAGTCATCGGTAAACGAGTACATCGCTAAGTGACGTACAGCCTCTCCTGAGTGACGTACTCTTTTACCGACCACTTGGACTTATGACCAGCTCTCTTACCAGTATGCAAACCTAAGTAATGTATATTAGAGCTGATTTCCTCTATTCTGTTTATTACAGTATGCTACTGTATAAACATTCAAAAATATACTAAAAATGTTATAAATGGTTCAAAGGTGGCATTAAAAAACTATCTAAAGATGGTTGACACAAACCCACTACCAGTATAGTATGCTCCTCACTTAATGACCAATTTGCTTCCTGACCTACACTTAGGA